GGGGGGGGGGGGGGTGTACTCATAGTCGTGCATGCCGTAGTCGTCAGACCATTGACCTCGTATCCCTATGAAGCCGGGACGACGCCGGGTTCTCACCGGACCAGGTTCTCACATCACCGAGCGCGAAGCGCCGTGAGATATTCGGGGAGTCGCATGAAGGGTGCGCTGCATCCTGCTGGGGGTGTTCGGCTTCTTGTGCTTACTTCCTTGCGTACGGATGACGGCGAGTGTCCTGGGAACGAACAAAATAGCCCTTCCTTCACAGGTCGTGCTTCTAAACAGGAGGCAGGGTGACGCATACAGCAGTATTTGGAAGAGAAACGAAGAGAGGAGATGAGGGCATGAGGGCGTTCTGGCGCTCTTCTTGCCATCAATACTCGGGTCCGATCCCGCGCCCCCTCACTCAAATATCACACGCATCATGTGTACAAATATCCGTTAAGGACGTTGGAGGATGCTACGTAATTATTTTCACGTGGAATTCGATACTACGTGTTCCTAAGGTCCTGCTGCCCTTGCCGAAAGTAGTTTGTGGCGGGAACGTGCGTTTGTTGTTGTTTGTCAACGCCGACGCCCACAAGAAATCGAGGGAAAGAGACCGGCAAATTCCACGTATCCACACTGCTTGCAGCAGCAGTTTGCATTTCGGTGATTTTATTGTTCGGATTAACTGGTGGAGGATGGGGGGCTTCTAGTGCCGGTGAAATCTAGGGACACACCCCGGCACTCTGTGAAGGGCCCCCTACCGTAACTACTTCCATGAAATTGATCGTGGAACGGCGTATGTTGACGTATGTATTCATATGCACAGTCACCCCGATTATGGTGCTCGAGTATCCTTGGTAAATAGAATACTTTCTTCCCGATCAAGCAACATGATGCAGTCGAAGACATGAAGAGCTGCTCAAATAGCACGATAATAATTAGTTGGCTATGTGCGTACTTGGATGGAGGACAGACCATGTACCAGGAGTCTGCCGTCTCTACACTCGTCACTTTTGTAAGCCAATCGGTTCATGTCAAGGTCAACTTTGGAGTCAACCGCATATTTGAAAGGCACTCCGTACTCCGTATTGTGCGCAACTACGAAGTACAAACTATTTGTGCTTTAGACATTCTGGTAGGATGGCATACATACGTGAACGCTGTATATTGAACATTGCAACGCACACAAATTTCTAAAGCTATTCTACCGCTGAACTTGTAAGACCCGATTGAGCCATGAGGGTGGACTGTGAAAGCCAGCCGCCCCCGCGTCCGCCCACGCACCAGCTGCTGCTTGTGGTGCTGCATAGAGATTGCTGGCGTTTCACTCTCGACGGCGAAACGGCAAGCAAACCATGAGGCGTTTCTTACTCCGGAAGTGTCGTTTGTGGCAAGGTCTTTCTATGGAGAAGACGGGCCACCCTACGTACGTCCTCTCAGCTCCTGAGCGGTTTTGCAACAATGATCCTAAGTACTCCTCCACTGTCGCAGTGCTCGGACTACATACGAAGGCCAAGAGCCAGCCAATATCCCGCCAAATACACTCTTCGGTCAACGAGACAGACAGGTAATAGCGCTGTAGGCCGGTACCGCTGGCCAAAGCTGCTGCTGCTACGTATATGCCTCCGGGGATTGTAGAAGCGGAAACCAACACTCGGACCCCACGACTATGTTTCTTAGAAGCCGAACTCAAACCGTAAGACTATTATAGCGTAGTCGCTGAAAAGTCTCGCTGGCTAGTTTAATGGTTTTGATTTAGGCTTCTGGAAGGATGTGGAAATCAGCAAGTGTGTGAGCGCCATTTCTGATCTCTCCACTGCTATGAGTGTTTTGCTTTGGGTTCTTGACCCTGCCAGTAAAGTTGGTATTGCTCACTCACTGGTGGCGGGCCCGGCTGGGAAGTTCTCCTCGCTAGTGTTAACACTCTCCAGAGTGTTTGTCTATGACATAAACGTCGTTTTTTCATAAACGAGGTATTTTTGTGCGGTTTTCATCCCCCGCCGTTGTAACCCTCAGCCAAGATACGCGTACCGTATGTAACATAAGATAACACACCCCCTGGACCGATTTTCAAAGCTCGATTACTCCATAACGAAGAGGGTGCATAAACGAAATGATACATTTTCGAAAAGCTCTCGACGAGACGGTTTCAACGCCGCCGTTTTCGGCGCTGTGACTGTTCCTGCAGTTGAGAAATCGAGCTTCGAAAATCGGTCAAGGGGGTGTGTTATCGTGTGTCATATACAGTAAGACAGACGGATACGGATCATTAAGTTTCATACCCTGCGCTGTTTACATCCGTTGGTCGTGCTGGCGTGCCTCTCAATTTTTCTCCCCGGTGTGCTTGTTTTTTCCTTTTGAGGCGAAGTGAGAGCGCTGTCCGCTCCGAGTTTGGGAGTTCCCCCGCTGCTTCCGCGGGCGGCGCCGGTGGGTCGAGGCCAGATGGGGGTGTTGCGGTTGGCGCGTGGGCGCCGGGCGCGACAGCCATGGCACCGAAGGCCACAGTGGGGTTGAAGGAGTCGAAAGTGAGCCGCTACTTTGTTCTTCTGGGGTGGTGGTGGTAGGCGTTTTTGATGTTTAGTGACGGCGGTGTTGGCGGTGTTGCTCCACCGGGAGTGGTGCGTGCATGCCGGTTCGGATTTCCTTCGTGTTGCTTTTTGTGCCATTCCCCACAAAGTTTGGGGGTGATCGCTCCAGAAGAGTATTCACCAAAGGTTGGGGTGTTTGCATGCTGCAGCAGAAGCTGCAGCAGAAGTGCAGCAGAAGCTGCAGCAGACGAGCGACTGGTGCTGTGTGTCATCTTCACTGCAGTCTCCTCTCTGTCGTATCTGCTCCCCCCCCCCCTCCTGCCCACCTACCCAACCCCGGTCGCCTCCCCCAGACCCATCACCTCGATCCCTCAATGTGTTGCTTTTTCGACCCCCGGCATGCATGGCGCTGTGTCGTGGGCGCTCTGTGTTTGCACGGCGGCGGCGGCGGCGGCGGCGGCGGCTTGATACCAGGCTGACGAAGACTCGCCATCCGTGTTGTACAAAGGCAGGGTGAGTTGAGACGGAGCGCGGGGGGGATGGTTTGACAAGCAAGCTGTCCGTGATGCGTGACATCTAATGGCGCTCACGTTGTATTTTATCTCCGCTTGTGGCGATGATTGTGTGACATGTACTTTGTGGGCTACGGTCTTGCGGTCCAGTCGTAGTGCGTGATGTTTTGCACCGTTTGTGTTTCGAAGGGCTTCCGTCCCGTTTGTTAAGCAAGACTTCGGCGCATCAAAAAATCGAAGTCATGCACATACATCACATAGGAATGATTCTGCTGTGTGCGGGTCTCGATCATGGCCCCTTACAATTGAGTAGGCCGCACAGGC